CGGTGACACGATTGATGGAGCAAAGACGTCGAACGTGATTGATCGAGCCTTCTGTATTCCCTATTTCGTGACAGTCTGGTGACAGCCTTGAAGTCGTCTTGAGGTGAACATACGAAGAGATTTTATGTAGTAGTAGGTACTGAGCAAGTAGCAAGCCGTGAATTCGTAGCGGTCGATGTATGAAGCTAGCGGTAATGGTCGATGACACTTAGAAACAAAGGAAGGAATGAACTATTTAAAGAAGAACATAACGCACTATTACACGGTTTGGAATGCACTGCACCCGGGCGAGTCGATCGAAGTAAAAGTAATCGCGGCACCGTGATTGATCGGCCCACGCGTTGCATTAAAACGAAATCGGTTGCAGTGGCCGTGTCGTTTTATATTGAAACCGTTACCCGCCACTCGTTCTTCTATTTTTGCGCCAACACTTTCCCTTTCCTCTATCTAGCGCAGCATGCGACGCGACGCGACATCGCGAAAGATCAACAATGTGCTCTTTCACTTTTAATTATCTGAACGGAGTACCTTTGTACGGCTTAAATATCGTCACAAGAAACGGTTAATAATAAACTTTGTTTATATCTAATGGAAACAACGTAGCATCAAGATCGTAAATATCAAGTATTTGTTGGTAGCGGACATTGATGTACATCGTTGAACTTAGGATTGTGTGACGTTGTAAGCGTTTCGTAGGAGTATCTTGAGGTATAGAAGTATCATTCGTACATAGATTTTGCGATTATGATTCCTTTGTTAATATCTTTCAAGCTCCATGTTGCGTGTCTTATATGTATCATTGTACAAGTTATTATTGCTAGGTCGTAATGAAATTTCCGATTCTTAATGATTTATACTTCACTGAATTGTAGAGTGGTTATATATATAAAGCTGTTAAAAAGTTAAAATTACATATGAAAAAGAATTGTTAAGAATCGTTATCAAAACCTCGAGGAAGATCGATGAACAGCTCAATTTATGATCGATCGGGTTATCCCCGATTATCGAGCGACTTTTTACCATTGCATGCGTCGAATGCATGTTGTATGAATGTTGAAAGGAAATAAGAGATAAAGATTGTTTGATATTTTTGGATTATTGAGTAAATTGAAATTTGGAGAAATGATATTTGACAAATTGAATGATTAAAACTCTGATTATTATATGTAGTCGCATGAGGGAATTAACTGTATGTAAATAAAACACTTGCTATATTGTAGTATTAAAGAGTCGTGAGAATTAAGATTTTCAAGAATAGCGTTTAACAATAACGAGCAAGTTTTACGGATATTTTTAAATTTGCCTTAACTTGAAAGCCTTTGAAATGTGCGTGCTCAAAATGATTTCGAATTTCGACACATTTGCACTGAGGTGTGACAAACTGAATACACGATAGCGTAATTTTATTACTGTAGTTGAAGTCCATAAAATTGTTCAAAAATTAGGAAAATGTAGAAATTTCCTATAAAGAACGGCACGCCAAAATATTTAGATAGATCGATATATTTCCTGTTTCGTAAAGATCAATAAAATCCAACGATTGCTCGACCCGACAATAGTCGATTAGAATTCCACCAGTTTCAAACAGTACCAGCTCGTCCGGGGAACAATTAAATTGCTTAGAAATGAATATTGGATCGATGTGGATCGTGGTGTTCGTATCTAATCGATGGGATAATATGTAGTTCAAAGTATAAGCAGTAGAACACTGTCAGAATTGCTGTCCTAAATGAATCAATTCTGATAACGTGAAGCAAAAAACTTCTCTGGAATCTTTACTGAAACTTCCAATTGCACAATGGAGAACGGAATATTCTCTAATATTATCAAATACTATTAATCGCATAATTGTATATCTGTCTAAAAGTCCAATTTGAATGGTAGCTAATATAAATTATTAATAAAGTTGGCAATATAATTAATGATATGAAATTGAAACGATCTTAGAACGAATGTTAAACCGTTTTTCCTTCGTGTCACTGTCCTTGGCACTTTATCTGCAAGATAATTGATTTTTCTATTGGTTAAAGGAACAGTGATTAGGATACGAGTTTCTATTAACTCTGAAATCAATAGAGCGTTCACCTAATAATTTCTATCTAATCGCTGCCTTGGTGAATATGTTAATCGTCGCTGTTTCTATTTTAAAGATTAAAACTGGAAAAATTCCAATTTTCCTCTGGCTCAATCGCTACAGATTTAGATCATTTTCTTATTAAATATTACGATAACTATTCCAAAAACAATATTTAGTTTTGAATTGCGTATCAGATTAATCATAATTACAAATTTTTGATCCTCGGTCCAATATATCTTTCTTTAATTACCAATCATCGAAATTCCTCGCAAATACGAAACTCACTGTTAAATATACGGCTAGGTATGAAAGTTTATTGTCAACATAACGTGTACTATGAATATGATGAATGTATGATCTTTAATTTTAATAACAAGAAACGATGGAAAAATAGATAAAATAGCGTTTTCGATGGTAAATAAAGTCTAATATATTTTTTCCTAAATCATGTCAATAGGTTTTGTCGTCCCTCATACTTTATCGCGAAAAATGTGGCATTCGCGAATTATCGCGGTCAGACAGTGAACTACGGACCAGACTACAGGCAAAGAGATGCATTCTGCATGTTCATTTATAATGGGATCAAAAAATGAATAGAGAATTGCTACAGCTGAGCATGATAAATTCATCAACAAAGATTGAGATCGTTTGGTCATCGTATTTTTCTTATGAATGACTTTTTCTTTTGTTTGGCGATTATTGTTTTTATAATAATGAAGAATATTAATAACTTCTGATAAAATTAACATTGACTTTTGATCATACATATCCATTTTCTTTCATTATGTCACATATAACTATAATCTACAATATTTTTGCGAGTTCCATAATGAACCGTTGCATCAAAATATTATTTCAATTTTATTATTAGACATTCAATCCATTAACAGGATTTTATCTCGTTAAAATTTTATTTCCTTAATAGAACCATTTAATTATAATCGTCTTCAATATATATTTAGGTAGGCGTAAAAGTCGATAGTTCTATTATTAAATAACATTTTCTAGATACTATATTGCATGTATTGAGATGTTTTATATCTTCAGCAACGTAATAATTTGGCAAATAATTTGGTAATATTGATGCAATAGTATGTACACGTAATTGAAGAAACATGAATTAATATCGATTATATAGAAGAAATCGATCGAGCTGGCTCTTCCAACGTTCGGAGAAAGACAACATCGAGGCGAGATTACTGAGAGAAAGAAATTATGTTCAAGCATTGTACTTTGATCTAAGCTGTCCACTATATGCGATTCATACAATATTATTGTTTACAGAGATTTCTCGAACAACATCGCACTTTGTTTGGACTTTACGGACCCGGATTGCCATTAATCAATCCAGAGAACGATTAATTTCCTGGAAGAATCATTGACAGAAAAGTTTTAAAGGTTTCCCCCAAGGAAAGCCAGACATTAAATATCGTACTTATTTATATGTACATACTTGTGACCTATATCTTCGGTACAAGTCAGCCTCTGATAAATCGATTATTTAATTCCTTTTTTTATAAATATCAGAAAATGAGGTAGCATCGTATGTTTTGAAACAAACTGAGTTACATACTGTTCAAACGAAGTTGAGTCAAGGTTAAGTTAAGTTTAATCATGTTGAATTAATTTAATTTCGGAGCTAAGTTAGATTGTGTTTGAATTTCATTAAATCGAATTAGAGTTGAGTTAAGTTGCGTGAAGGCGATGTCAACTTGAATTATATAGAATTAGAATCAAATTAAGTTGAATTAAATAGAATCAGATTGCATCAAATTGAAATAGATTGGATTAGCCTGACTTTATACTAAATCACATTATGTTAAATTAAGTTTAAACTGAATTACATTCAGTTTGAGGTATGTTAAGTTGAGTTACATTGAGTTAACATTTACTGAAAGTTGAGTTAAACTAAGTTATACTATAAGCTGAATTAGATGGAAATAAATCGACTTAAACTAATTTAAATTAATTTAAATCGATTACATTGTGACTTAAACTAAATCTAACTTGCATTGAGTCTCAAACAAAGTGAAACTGAGTTAAATTGAAATTGCTTATAAGTACAACTGTCTGCAAACACAGCAATCGTATACTTGATGATTTTGTTGCAATGATTTATTTAGCTAATGTCTCATTTCAAGGTAACATTCAGCGAGTTTATCAACATCCAGCATTTTTTTTCACCCCGTCCGATTAATTAATGATTAGTCCAGTGGTGTTTGCGTGTCTGCGCGAGCCAGACCACGGAATATAACACGAAGAATCTCGCGAAACCATCGGGAACGATAAAAGGATCATGACCGAATGCTTTTTCAGCTGAGTAGAGATAACAGCTTTTGTATTTCAGCCACTCACGTTGCGTGCACGTTGTTCCTTTTTTATCGGGGAAAATTTTTTTCTCCGAACAGCTAAGGCTTGCTGATCGACCTCTTATCCCTCGTATAAAATGCTACGTATTAACGTCACAAAATTTCTTTTCTATCTTCGCGATATACGAAGATTATTCATCGATGCATCCAGATGAGCGGAGAAAAACAAAGAAAGGTTCTTAACGACAAAACAGTAGCTCGCTTGTGCTAATCGAATGCGTACAAGTGTGTAAACAAGTCTCGAATGGTGCACGAATTGCCCAGAAATTTATACAGAAATCTAAACGATATTTATATCGTTTATCAGTCAAATTACAAACATAAACAAAGAAAAATAACAGGCACGAAGATGAATTTTTTTCTTATTCTTTTTCCATCATTTTTATTGATAAATACTTTACTGCAACAAAAAAGATCAAAGAGTAATTGAAAGTAATAAAATACATTTTCAGATTGATTTCAAATACAAATACAATCATACCAATCGAGTCACATAGCAGTGTTGATGAAATTTCAAAATGTTTCGCATAACACACATGATAATATTCATGAAATTTCAAAATATTTCACATAACACACATGATAATATTCATGAAAGGTATCTACAAGCGGACGAATATTTTTGCGAGTCAGGCGACAAAATTGAACTGTGTTAATAAGAATGTTGTAATGTTGCAAAGTCCTCTTGCCATGTCATTTATCGATGTTTACGTATTAGTGAGATACGTAGTTGGTAAACAATAACGTGATTTTTGAACGTGTTATTTATTGTATTTTGTTTCCTCGCAATCTTGCAGTTGTATGTATATGTAGTTCAGTAGATACATTTCCATAATTTTGGTAACGTTCTTTCTCGATCCACGAAGATCCTATGTTAAGAGTCATCGATGAAGCCAGATCTTCTTAGTAAAAAAATGTTTACGGATCAAGATAAGACATTTGTACGACGTAACATCGATCTGCGTATTTTGTTTACCTGAGCCTTTCGTAAAGTTGATACCGTGGACCTTGTCCTGTCAAGTGATCATGTTAATTGATTCGAATTAATAGGTATATTTTTTTAAATTGTACATAAATTGTTATAGATATATTGCGTTCAATCTCGTATTAAATTTATTGATAGTGGTTTTGTAAACACATGAGAATATTAAATATTTTGTTTCGAGTTACCACATATGCTGGTTCACTTCTTTTTTTACAATTCTAAATAAAGGAATAGAAAAAATATTTGATTCTTTTACGATAGTATAGCATCGAGGTTAATTAATTTGTAAAGATTTATTGCATATTAAACTTTACTAATTTTTACATTACAATTTTTTTTTGTTTCCATTTAAACTATCGTCGAATCGTAGTCTTTTTATTCAGATATTCCTAAATCTTTTTATGATGTTTCTTCAAATAATTTCATTTTCTATTTGAGTTCCAAATTAAGTACGTTTATTCAGTTTTTGTGTTATTTGTGCATTTACTATCATTTTCCCTAAAAATAATTAAAAATTAATTGTATAATGTAGTACAGACTTGAGTAAGTATCCTAAGGTTTTCTTATATCTTTTGGAAGTCTACAACGGTAAAAACATTACTCATGAGAATATTAAAATATCGTTTGTTATATATTTAGTTCCTATAATCTTCATTGACTATATTTTGAATCTAATAGGTTCTTTTCATTTTTATCTACTATATGCTAAAATATTCTCCTTTAGTCATAAAGTGACATTAAGATTAGAAAATTAAGAAAGATACTTTTTGTTGAAAATGACAACGTGAGTTCGAGTCGCCATCCATATGCAGATGCGTTAGTTATAAGAAATAGTAATTAGAAAATAGTCCTAGTTACAATCGATAGATTTAATCGATAGGCTTAAGATGCTTTTTTGTTTTTATTCCTAGTTTTTGTAAGCGCGTGCAATAAAGGTTTTTTTGGCTCAGAACGGTGTGATAGATTGATCCATTCAATAAAATAATAACTATTGTGATCCTACCTCTGAGTATAGAAATAACAACACTTTTACTTGTGGTCTTCGTGTAACAATGAAATAAATGTAGTGCTTGAGAAAGACAGATAGAATCGAAGATGGAATTGAAATAAGAGTCATTGTGTTTTGGTTCGAATGAATTCCTCGAAATCGCTCGCCTCTTATCGCCTTCATTCTTCCCCTTTTCATCTTTTTCTCATATTTTTCTAGACTTCGATAGCTTCGACCCGGTGTCACAGAGTTATCGATATATTTTGCATAAACATATACAATATACACAATACGGAACGCATACATATACATATACAATACAACGCATACAGAAAAGTCACGCGTGGCTTGACGTTTCTGGAGGCTCGACTGTGTAGCGCATGATATGGTTATCATAATTGATTGCATAACATGGTGGGCACGACCGCGCGATGTATGCACCAACAACCGTTTCACGAGGAAAAAGTATTTCAATTGTAACAATGGCGTTTTGTTAAAACCCATAACTCTACCAAGAGCTATTTACATTCTTCAAATGTTTTCGTTCGTTTTAAAATTCTTTCAGGCGACCGATAAATTTATCTGTAGTTTCAACCAATAATAGTAATTATAGTTTCAAATATCTTTCTAATGTAACAATAAGATGAAAATATTTCTGTTGTAATGGCGATTTAGTGTAACTCTCTTAGCTTTACCAAGTAGGTATGACTCACATTTTTCAAGTATTCTGTTTGGTTTTGAGATTCATTCAGAGAATGATAAATTTATCTCAATTGTTTACCAACTTGATGACACTTAGTTTCGGATAAATTTATAATATTTATTGTAGTAATGGTTTTATGCAACAAAAGTGTTTCAGTGTTGCTTTTGTAACTATACTTTATTAGGTTTTTAAAAAGAAGGTTTATCTATTTTGATTCACGTTGATCGCAAAATTTATCTAAATTCGTTTCTCACGATGATATTGATTTCAAATAGACTTATAATTGCTTATTCAGTAGAAAGTTAGACATTTCTTTGTATTAGAGTAGAAACATTGATCTTCTTATAAAAATGAAAAGATGCATTTGTAAAATCTTACAGTCTAAATAAGATTATTTTTTTATTTGCAGCTTTTAATTCACACATAAAATGTACACATGATCTTTATATTTTTTAATTTATCAATTCGTAAACAGAATCTCTCGCAGACTATTATCTTAAGACCGCACTTTGTTATCCGGATGATTTTAAGAGTGCGTCATATATATCTCAGGAAAGATTATTTTATGTTTTGACTATCTTTTGCGTTACATTCTCAAATTTCCAATATATTTATCACTTTCCATAAAATGAATTTTTACAATCAAGAAGCTTTTTGTTTACATCATATTATTTCTTTCTTTTTATGAAGAATCGAAGTATTTTATAAATAATCGAGCAATTTTTCTATATCTTTTCTTCTTTCATTTCTTTTCTATTGTAACAAAGTATGATTGAAACGATTCTTTCATGCTAAGATTTTCAATTGTTCTATCGAAAGTTCTTTCGTGTATTCACGATCGTAAAACCCCCCATGGCGTGGGTTAACGAAGAATACAAGATTCTATTATCTATGATCTTTAACCCCGACATCTTATAATAAAGGGAAGTTGTGTCGTTTTTATTGCAAACTTGCTAAATCGAGTTTTCTTTGTCCGCTTATTAAGAATCTTGTCTATTATTCCAAATTTATTTCGTTCAACTTTATGAAACTTAGAATATAATAAAATAAACAAATTTCGAAAAGAAAGGAATTATTAAAATAGGGAAACATAATTTCGGTTGTCCGAAATCAACACGTATCTGGTTACGTCATCGTACAATGTAAAAGGATTTAAAAAAGATAAGAAAAAGAGTAAATATTTACTACTAAATTAAATTTGAATTTAGAAAGATCTCAGGCATGTTTTACAATGTGGATCTCGTAATTGGAAACATCTGTACACGTGATTGGTATCGCGGCGCGAATGAAGAAAAGATACATCAACATGATTAGTATGTGATCAATGAAAATAATACGTAATACGCTTACAAATCAAATCATTTTCTCTTATATGCTTTATTTACAACTCGTATAATTACATAAAACTTCTCAATCAATATTTCCAATTTTCCAATGTCGATATACATTTTTTTAAACAACAAATATATCACGACATAGTGTAACATTGTCTACATTAAAATTATAAAATTAAACATCTTGAATAAATAGCAAAGTAATTATTGTTAATTCAAATTTTTATTGTTCCTAGGAAAAGGTTTTTGAAGCAAAATTCAAATATTCGCGCTACTAATTTTAGCCTACGGAGTCGCATATGTGGTGGCATCTAAAGCGAAAGAAACGAAGTTTTTCTTCGAAATGGCGACATTTCCGTACACAGTCGGTAGTCTGATTCTGTTTCACGTAATTCGCGGCACGTATCAGCTGTTCGGTGACAGTTTGCTAGCAGTGAGAGTAGAGTGTTGAGGTTTATTGTTTAGGAAAGCAATATGGCTATCTGGTGATTAGTAACAGTGCGATACGTAGACAAAGGAACAACGCAGTTCTCATGATATTTGGAGACGCGTGGTGCACTCTGTTTTAGTTTAATTTATAAAAGTAAGGGAAATAACAAAAGGAATCGGTTAGAGATGTTGGAACTCGAGGTAGTGCCCGAAAGATCCCTCGGCTGCGAGCAGTGGGAATTTATTTTAGGCAAGTGACGAAATACTCGCGATGTATCGCGGCTACGTCGTATTACGCGTAATTTTGCGATCATCAAATTAATTTATAATAATTTAGAAAACGAACAGAGAATTTCCGTTATACTCTCTCCTCTTTTTCAAATTGAACTTTATTGATGTTGTCGTCATGTCAGCATTCGTACTTTGCTATTTCATTCTATTTGTAAACACCTCATTTGACAATCGCGCGTAAACAAAGAAAATGGTGATCACTATGAATATTTTGTTGCTTATTATGTAATTGTTTACACGTATTGCCTCGCTATTTGAACTTTTGCTGCTGAATTGTCAATTAATTGGCTAATAATTAATTGGAAATTGACGCTTTAATAAGATATCACTTTATAAATAGATATGAGTTTAATGAGATTCATGATATTATTTGAAATAATTATGTTGATACGCATATAGTTTAATATAAGCAATTCATGAAATAACGATTATGTGTGGTCTACTTTTAAAAAAGAGTTATTCTTACAGGCATGCATTTTTCCCAATCTGTATCAATAATACAATCCCAAGTGGGCATTATAAGGGGAGTACAAGTACTTTATAGTGATAGTGTAAGTATATATTGATAAAAATTAGATTTATATGTTATTATCATATTCTTTACTTCTGCGTAATTAATGTGGAATTAAATTGTATGTTTTACACATGCAGAATCCTTTAGATGTAGATTTAGTAATAAACTTACCTCATGATGGAGTTCGGCTTATATTCGACCCAGTGGTGCAAAGGCTCAAAATAATTGAGATTTATAACATGAAATTAGTTAAACTCAAATACTGTGGTTTGCCATTCAATTCACCAGAGGTTTTGCCATCTATTGAACAGATTGAACATTCATTTGGAGCAACCCATCCTGGTGTTTACGATAGTGATAAACAAGTATAGTGTTTCCATTTATGTAAAGAATTAGTAAAAATCTGTGCAATCAAATAATGTTGGTTTTTAGGTATTTGTGTTAAATTTTCGAGGACTATCGTTTTACTTCCCCATTGATTCAAAGTTCCAACCTGGATATGCACATGGATTAGGATCATTGCAATTCCCAAATGGAACATCTCCCCTTGTGGCAAAAACAGCTATTTATGTTGGTAACATGGGTGCTGGAGGTGGAAGCGATGAGCATAACTTAAAGGCACCACCACCACCTCTACCACTTGTAATTATTTTTTGCTGGTGTATAGAACAGGACATACGAATATCTAAGCAAGATTAATATTACATAATCACATTTTGTTAGGTTTGCTATCATAACAATTTGTATTTAGAAAAGGCAGATGTCATGCGAGACAAAATGCGTACACGAGGTCTTAGATTGCACCTTTTCACAGAAGGTAGCTCTGTAACAAGGGTATTACTGGAGCCAAAAAAACGCTGCTTAACCAAAGAGGTTATATTTTATAATTTAGTTTGTAGTTGAATTTTTATCCCAAAGTATTGTATAGTCTAAACTTCTTTAAACATTGTAAGTGCCCTTTATAGCTCGTTATAGCAATGAGAGAACTTTTAAATCTATAACAATTGAACTTTGCTGTATGCTGCATTCTTATTTTTTGTACAATATACACAATTATAGGTGTTATTTGGTGACACTTGTGAAGATGTGCTGAGTGCTTTGGGAGCACCATCTCGAGTCTTTTTCAAAGCCGAGGATAAGATGCGCATTCATAGCCCTCACGCACACAAACGCGATAAAATAAGACGTTCGGATTTCTTCTACAACTATTTTACTTTAGGATTGGTACATTTTTCTCTTAATAACTATTCCATACTTCAAAAAAGTAAATCAGCAAATCGAAATAAATATATATCTAAACATTCTGTCATTTTTTGTAGGATGTTTTATTTGATGCCAAAACCCAATGTGTTAAGAAGTTTGTGCTACACACAAATTACCCAGGGCATTATAATTTTAACATGTACCATCGTTGCGAGTTTTCTTTAACTCTTCCACCAGAAAATAATTCCACCGAATCGGGGAAACTTATAGATGTATCCCCTTCTCCAGTTACGGTACGATATATTTCTGAATGAGATGTATAGTTAAGACAAATAATAGCAGTTTCAACGAGTCTTTGATAAATGTTTGACAAGTGTTTGAGATTAAGATAATTTCAACGATCGTTTGTTTTTTAGATCACTGCCTACACGAAATGGGATAGAATAAGCGAACAATTGAAGGCTAGTGCACGGCCAGTAGTATTGAACCGTGCTTCCTCGACGAACACGACAAATCCATTTGGGTGTACGTTTTGTTATGGTATACGCGACGCGATCGTCGAAGTCATGGCAAATCAACACATCGCGAGTGTAACTTTATACAGAGCTGTGTGACCTTGATAATTTATACAATATGGTGCATTATAAAGCGCTCTTTGAGGAGCAATTGATGATGTTTTTGAAAAGATGAAAACAAACAAAAAATAGGCATGTTTCAACTCTGTCGGAAATTGCATAACATCACCTTTGAAAAAAGACTGTATGATGCAAAAAGAAGTAACGGGAGTGCAAATGCATGCAAAATCCTGATGCAGTTTCTTTTTTTTTTTAACACTAACGTAACAACATTGAAATCGCGAGGACTTTACATAAAAACAAAGAAAAAAAAAGAGAGGAAGATTACGGAGGATGCAATGACGGTTTCAAGCTCAGAAAATCAAGCGATATCATTTTGAATATCATGTATTGTTGCTTGTAACAATATACATAAATCTTTTTTCCTGGCATATCCAAACCCAGAGAAATAAAACAAAACAAAACAAAAAAAAGGAATAAATATCACGAAAAAAGCAAAAAGATGATCAACTAAGGGGTACAAGTGTCTGCAATATTCAATAATATCATATTTAATATACTGTTTTTATCTTTTGGTTATAAGTTTTAAATATAGCTAAAAATTAAAAAAAAAAGATCTTGCGTGAGCGATGAATATTGTAATATCTGAGCTCTATAATAAAAAGAAAAAAAATATGAGAGGGGAGTAGTTTCAAAGGATAATAAGAATTTTGATAGTTAATGATAAACCTATGATGATTATAACGACAGTAACGATTAATAACACATGACAGTAAAATATTATAATGTGCTTAGTGCAAGTAAAAAAAATGATATCTAACTTTCGAGAAACCAAAATTTTTTAACGCGTGTTTAAGATAACAGACAAATAGAAACAAAAAAAAGATAAATGATGACACAAAAGCGATGTTTTGGGTACACAAATTAATAGGCGTAATATATATTATACATATTAGAATGGCATTATCCATTCAATCTGTGCAGAATTGAATGTAAAACTGTAAAAGTCTATCAAAAAATGATAAAACTATACATTGAATAACAAAAAAAGTATTTAACAGTGCGGGAGGAATTAAATTCATGGCCTGTTTTTTACGCTTTTATCTATCAAACTCTGATCATTGTGATATGTGATGAAAATTCAAAGCGCAATACATTATATAATATTTAAATTGCAATATTTAAATAAGTTACTTCTTTGCATTAACACAAACAAAGAACAGAAGAAAAAGAGAAAGGATAATTAACTAATTACTTTCTTATACAATTTTTGTGGCATTACATAATTCTTGTGATTATAAGTGTACTCACAAAACTGAATTAGTCTTTAATCTTTTAGTCGCGTAATATGGAATACTATATCATGAATTTCTCATTAGCTTACGATGCCAGAAGGAAAGTTCTTTTCGTTTCTTTTTCTATTCTATAAATTCGAGATTTCACGTTGATGTTAAATTGCACAATTGTACATACCCTATATGAACTTGTTTCCTGCTAATCATAGGGTATAAAGGCGAATATGTTTTATGTATCGTATAAACTTTGATAGTTGATAATCTACAGCGATTATAAGATCTGTAATGAGTAATAATCGTAAAATATAAATAACAAAAAACGCGTTCGAGATTGGAGCGCAAAGCATGAACGATGAATTACTTTGATTATCACTTTTAACTGCACAGATTCGTGACGATTTTCCTTCCTGTTTACCGAATTAGCAGAAATTTTGTGGTCCATGATTTATGATATAAATCTCTGTAAGTTGTACCCTTCTGTTTCCACCATGGACACAGATGACATTTCCTTTGAAGTTCAAACTTGAAATATCGAATGATCTCAATATATATATATGTACATATCGAATCTTGATATATATATATATATATATATAAACATCATATATATATATATATATATATATATATATGAATATATATATATGAATATATCTAGATTCGATAGTGATTCAAAAGTGAAAGCGATGGAATAAATATTGTTGTTGAAGAAAAGTGCTAATTGACGCATAATTGTACAAAAAAAGCTTTAAGAGACGCGGATCTGCGTGTTGATCTGCAGTTGTTCTTGTTTCTCAAAATCCTATTTTGATGGAATATCTCCCGTTTTTGTCGATTTTTGTCGAAACAGTTTTGCGTGGAAATTATTTTCAAGTAAATATATAGAGCATAAAATTCTCTAAACAAGCTTCATTGAAGCATTCACCGATGCAATAACAAATGTTCAAAAAAGAAAAGAAAAGGTAGGATTAAAACACAGAGGAAGAGAAAATCAGTGGATCTTTTAGAAATTGTATTCTCTATATAATTATTTCTGATAATTCTTCCCGAGAAATCTCTCTATTTAGTTTATACAAGGACGAATCATTTTGTATTGAATGGATTATAAAATCATGTAAAAAAATTTTCGATAAATCATTTTTCCTTCAATATTTCTTTCAGGCTTTACTGATCCTCGTGTATTTTCTTTTCAACAAATTATATATATATATTATATATATATTAATTAATATTATATATTAATTAATATTATATTATATATAATTAATATTATATATTAATTATAAAAATATATATATATATTGTATGGTTTGAAAAAATCTCAATTATAATTCAAATTAAACTAGGAAGAAGTAAATTTCGTGTTTAAACGAAATAAAATAATTTCTTTTCTTTTATGTTTACTCACTTATTTCCTTCGACGTGCGTTTTTCAAAGCGTCCAATCCGTAAGAGATGCAGTTCTTTTGTCGCGACTCTGAAGTTCGAGATGGTTTGAATTTGTTCATTTTGATTTCGTTCAGTCTATCTCCTTGTGTCATAATATATGGATCCGTAGCCCTGTATTTCTGTGGAGTTCGTTCTGAATCGTCTGTTCCGCGGAAATTTCTTAATTTTCCTATGAGCAAGAAAAGAAAAAAAATTGTATTATAATACCTGCATAGCATAGGACAAAATTTATTTATTTATTCAACGATGTAGATTAGTTACATAGACCAAATTCTTTTTTATATTCTTCAAGTTTGTAGTTTACCTTTTATACATGCACTAAAAGATACCTTTACAATGACTGCATAATTCAAGTTCCGTCGTAATGTTGATAAATAACAAGAAAATTGCATACGACAAAGAACACTACCACTACGCTAGAAATTGTAAATTAAACTAATTGAAACTGGATGCGCGCGCAGAATGCTCGGTATGAGATCTATTGGCGCGAAAACTTGTTTTATTGATATTTTCCTTTAAACTCATAATATTCGCTGCAACATATTTTAATAATTCCCTGTTACTTTTCTGAGTCGTCAGTTCTTATAAATAATTTTATTTTAATTTAATTTCGATTCATTATTAATTCCAATTCATATTGGTTGCGCGCGCAGCTATCGATAGATATGAAGTATTGAATAATCGACAAGAAATTGATAATGATTGTTCTGTAAATAAATGTATTCTTACGTTGAAATCTTATAAAAATACATTTTGTACTAATTTTTTGTTTCAATTTCTATAATTATTTCATTTGTTAAGGTATCATAAGTGTTAAAATTGTATATATATTTCTACATGGTAAGAAGTCTCGATCGATTAGTAATCGAAATTGAGATGCGCGAGCATGTTCCTGAAGCAGTTTTGGCGCGCGGTTGTTCTTTCCTTCGTGTTTCGACGTACTCTTGAATTTTTTCCTAATTTTACGTTACAAATTATGCCAACACTCTTTCATAATGAGGATTTCAACTACTATGGTTTGTATAAAGGTATAATAATATAATTCAATAGCCTTTGTAATGTAACAGAGCAAAATATTATATGTTAGTTTTTCAAGGTCAGCAGACCTATGCTAGACTATCATTGATTTATTAAAATTTCGATATAATTACATGAATTAACTTAGAAACACAATTTTCAATCAGAAAAGAATACTTTGTTAAAAAGTGTAACGTACTACGTATATATATTACCTTATAGCAGTTATATAGTAGCATATCTTTTACTTGTGTTTTTTAAAAATTAAGAAATAAAGTACGAAAATTATAAAATATTGAATAAATACCTAAAATTCTCGTAAATTTCGTTTTGCCTTTTTTCTCTATTGGTAGACTATCGTAGTTTGGTTCTGAAACAATACAAATTTACATTGAAAAATTTCCACCGTAATTTAATGTAATCCTAACCCTAATTTAAAATTAACATTTTTCACCATTTTTTTTTTCTCTAATTATTTTCTTTTTTTAGATCATCACTTTCTCGTCAAAGCAGAAATTGAAGATCTTCGATATAAGGGCTGCATTGAAGATTACAATTTTCATAGGTAAAATCTTTACTAGCCTCTAATAAAAAATTCTATTGCTTTTATACTCTTTTCTTATACGATCATTGGTTGATTTTAGGCAGAGACATAAAGTCCTACCTGTGCACCCTCCATCAGGCATATAGTGTATTTTCTTTTCCAACTTGTCTGCGATCGAATATATTCCGCGTTTATGGTGCAATATTACATCGCCATCGCCATAATACTTCAGTCTGCGAATAATACATCACCATGATGTATATAGGTATGTACTGAATATTATTGTCAAGTATTCCTTTTTTATTTTTCATTACAAATTAATAGTAAGAAAGACAATTCCTCTCTGTATTAATTCTTTTGAGACGGATTTTCTTTCAATAATAAATGCAATGATACAATATACGGCAACAATATAATGCGATAATATGATAATAATAAATTAAATATAATTTTTAAAATGAAATAATTTCAATTTACAACGAGATCCTATGCTTTAATAAACTTCAATGATGCCAGAAAAATACAAATTATAAAGATTCAGCGATCCTTTTAACAGTTACCTTGAAATATTTTGTTCTATTAGTTTCTAAAGGGTTAAGGTTGTTTTTTTTATTCAATAATCAAGAATCTTTATTGCAATATTATTATTTATATCTAATAAGGGAAACATGAATTACTTATATTGTTGACCAGCGTTCAACAAATTTTTCTCTATATTTTCTAACCAGGCTTGTTGGTGTCCAATAACGGAACCAGGTCTGCAAATCCTTATCCAGGCAATAGCTTCTCTTGCCGTCATTTTATAATGCTTTATTAAATATGCGGCAATTAATGAACCTGTCCTTCCTAATCCAGCCTGAAATATTATTCATATAGTAAATAAAATAAATAAAATTTGAAGATAGATAAGAAAATTGTTAAGAACTTCAAGTAACTTTGCAATGAACTGCTATCGGACCGCTGGTATTTTCGCTTAGTTGCAAAAATTCATTCAGTATTCTTCTCGGTGGTACCGTGCCGTCTGGCATGAACATATCGTAATGCATGATCCCTACGTCGGTGAATCTATTTTTAAAGCATCGCTTTAATTTCATTCTAAACTTAGAATCATAATAAATTATGTAACCGTATAATTTCTAAGAGTTTCAGGGAAATATAATTCTTTCAGTATTAATAGAGTAATAAATCTTAAAGATTAGGAAATAGTCAATATTTGCAATAAATAATGTAGTTCTTCTACAATTAGATAATCTTATAGAATTTTTGAAAATCATCAGTCGAAACTATTAAGAACTCTGTGATTATGGATTAGATTTGTACCTCGATGCACTGTATGCTTTCTTATTCAATCTGATCACGGCTGTGACTTCGTTCTTTAAAAAGTAATCAATGTAGCACTCAGGTGGATGATAAGGTGTGCCTGGTTCCGTGCTTGGACCAACGAAAGCCAGGAACTTTTGCGGTACCATCCAATTCAAAGCACCGTTTCTCATGTCCTCGTACTTTTCATACTCAACCACATCAAAGTCGCAGAAATTAAAAAAGCCGAAGGAAACTGCTTTTTTAAGAGCGTTCAAACAATCTATTCTCATAAAATAGATTATATAAGATTAATTTCAATCAGTAGAATTAATTCTCCAGTTTATAATTTCCACGCTAAACTGTCACCTGACAAATGTATACTATAAATTGCTGATCCCATAGATGCATCTCGAAATGGCTTTATAGGAATTTCACCTCCCATAAAAAGAATGTTGTAAGCTTCTCTTGGACTTTTGTTCAGGTATAATACCGCGTAAGAGGCAACCAGGTATGCGGAATTTGCCCTTTTGTGATCTCGTTGTGATGTATAGTGCACGATTTGTCTATGCTCATTTCCTGGGCTCTCGAGCTTCTTACTTACTTTGCAGCAGTATCTGTAAAAAACATTATTAACAGTATTACGATCCGATAGTAATTCCAATGTTTTCAACCTTATTACATTTATTTCTTTTTAATTAATATTGTGAATTTTTATTCAATTATTTTTATTTAATTATACAAGCTATATAATATCGTACAATTTGTATAACAGTATAATTAAATACAAATTCTCTTAATTATACGACAAATAATTCTATGAAATTATTATTTCAAATTTTGTTTTTTTTTCGTATAATTATAAGTTATTACAGATATGGTGGACGCTATCAAAAAATAATACTCGAGGGACATATGAAAATTTTATTTAGAAGTATAAAAGGATTTTAAATTCTTACTTGTATAAACAGGCGAGGTTTAAAGGGCCAAAATCGTAGTAAAAATTATTGTAAATTAGCTCGTCATCGATTGTAAAGAAATGGATATTAGATGTGCTTTTTACATCCTTTCGACCGTTGTATAACGTTGCAAAATAGAATTTGTCTTTTATATATTCACAGATATAAGTAACATCTGGATGTTTATAAACTGTGGTAATTTCTAATAGAAAAAGATAAATATAAGATAGTATAGAAAGAATACAAAACGAACAAATTTCTGTCAGTATTCATTTCGTAAGTACCATCTGGGTTGATGTTTCTATTATCGCAAGTACGATAGTTTCTTTTCGAGGGTGCATAATTTGTTTGTTCGTACATGATGAAAGGATATCGAAACGTGCTCTTCCTATAAGCGCAATTATTTTCTATAAACAACACAGCTTGTATGGCAATTAAACAATACCATGTTATAACCTTGATAAATCATTTGTAAATTATATGAAAATTATTATCGTCGCAATTTCCTCGTGATTGGTCATTGATTTTTAAAGACGTCCTAGTCATATCTTGCACAGAAAACAATATGCTTCTTTTTAATTTATTATAGTGATATATATTAATTTGGGGATAGTGTCATAGATTTGTCTGTTTTGTTGTCAAAGATAGTTTTTAATTACAAAATTGTAATTAACCAAACACATGATTCTCTGAACCTGGAAAAACAAATGAGATGAAAAGGGAATGTATTTCTTTCTCATATTTTGTCATTCTTTTAGTTCTAGGAGAGAATTTAAGAGTTACTGATTCTATAATACGTGTACCTTGGACAATTTTCATTTTCTAACAAAATAAAATCTGCTCCTAAATTTATCGTTATTTGCCACGCCAAATTACTGATCTCATGTTTGCCAGATGTCTGTCGAGTCTCCACGTTTCTCAACTTTTTTTTCTAAAGAGTCGATTGATCATTGGTCGTTTCTTTTGGATCATAATTCGTATACAATACACTTTTAGAATAATGCATTTTATATTTTCACAATACCGACGTTCCGACAATTCATTTCTAACAATGTTCTAATAACGTTCGCAGGGTTAGAGACAAGAAGAAGTTGCAGAAATATCAACGCACGCTACAAAGGGTGAGTCAAAGTTTTTCATTTTCTCTGCTTTCAGACTATAATTACAGTTGCGTTACTTTTAATTAAAATGTACGTCCTTGCATGCCTTGATCATTTCTCTTGACGTCTTTAAAAAGTTTCGTAAAAAGTCGATACCGAGGTGTACCATTTTCATTAACTCATACGTGTTAGGAAATATTTACAATTCTAAAAATGTTGCAATATGTTCAGTAATGTAAATAGTGCAATAATAATAATAATTCCAATGACATTAAAATATTGCGGAATATAAAATCCATAGATCATAAGTAAGTAATGTAAACAGTGCAATAATAATAATAATTCCAATGACATTAAAATATTGCGGAATATAAAATCCATAGATCATAAGTCAGTTTAAATTCCGAAAACTTAATTTTATTAATTTATCCAATTCCTTTGATACGTCGATTTGATAACGTGGATCGTCGATGACCATCGTAGCGGTCAACGCGTTAATCCTAGCCTCTGACCCTATCTAACAGTTTTTCTACAATTTTTATGTCGCAATATTGTTCTCATTTGAAAAAGGCAAAGAAACAACCAGCCTTGGATGGCAATCTCTCTTAAATCTTCCATTCTTCTCGTACGAAGAATCTCAACGTATTCCACCTTGACCATCTTGCGTAAAACTTTTCCTCTTCTCCCCAACCACTGCCTCCACCTTGTTTTTCCACTATGTCACTGCGGTACAATTTGCGAATGCACCGGGAAGTGGTTTAACATGCAACGTGAGGCCTAACCGGTAAAGCGACTGATCGGTATTTACGATTCAAGAGAAATCTTTCGCGGGACAACAAGGCGGCTCCGTCCATCCGTTCCGTGCATCCATTCCCTGCGTCCGTCAATCCGTTATAATTTCTCCGTTAATAGAATCCGAGATTTCGTAGCGATCCGTGCGATGCATTCGAAATCCGCCCAGTCGCCGTTCTCTCTCTCCCTCCTCCGTGCTCCTCTTCCTCTTCTCGTCATCTTTCGTTCCTTCGCCTCTTTATCGATCGAACTATTGCTTTCTACTGTTATTTCTCAGCGTTTTTATGTAAGAGTTTCACCAATTTCGTTATTTTTGGAACGGTAGTTGTCTTTCAGTCACGCGTTCTTGCGAGTTTTTACCCTCCATCAGCTAAATTGCTTTTTCATTCTTGTCATCTTTTTCTTATTTTATTGTTTTTTTTTCTCGTACGATTAACGAGCTTATATGATCCTTCGCGTTGAAACTTTGTCGGCTATTTTTTGTTTATTTATTTATCGTCACGCTTGTCGTCGTATTTAATTGTCCGTAGCTTGCGTACGAATATCGCGAAATTTCGCCTATCATTCTAGAGTTTCGTAAACTTGAGAAAATTCTTTCCCTCCTCCGGTGTTTCTCTTCTTCTTTCTGTCATTTTTCGTTCCTTCGCCTGTTTACCGATCGAACCGTTTTGCTTTCTACTGCTATTTTTAGGCGTTGTTGCGTAAGAATTTCACCAATTTCGTTATTTTTGGAACGTATTTCTCTTTTCGTCGTGGCTTGCGACTGGCTTTTCGAGTTTTACCACTTAACTCTCCAATAGGCAAATGTATCGTTTTTAACAGGCAAACCATAGTGCTTCAGGTGGAAGTTTCATCCTCTTACTGATATTTAGATTTTTTAGCGATTTGGAATATTCGACAAAGAGAAAGATTCGTAAGGACGGAATTAAAGAGCAAAATTTCATTGTCTGTCTACGAAGCTCACCACTTTTAACTCTTCCAGATTTATAATATAATTTCGCACATTTAAATCAATTTAGAGAACAGATTAACAGTTGATACAATCGAAAGTCTTATTATAATATGATTATAATCATACATTTGGAAATTTAATGTTACAACCTAACAGTTTCATGTTTGCTATCTTATTTGTCTTTCGTTATTTGTTATATAATTTTTCATATTACTCACTTACTACATTTTTCGTCTCATTCTTCATCTTGATCGTCTTCATTCACGTTTCTTTCGTCATCTTTCTCCATTCCAATCTATAAACATTCCACGTGTTTTATTCCTCCATAATATTATTCACAGCTTCTTTATATCTTTCGCTCGGACATTCCGTTTCTCACGGTTTCCCCTTTCGTTTGCCTTTATCTCCCTCGTACACGATTTATCGTTTCAAATTTCGTTTCTCCATGGCTTCGTTACCAAGAACGTCTCCCAGTCCCTTCATCTCTTCGGTTTCTCCGTACTCTCCGTCTCCTGCTGTTCTCCATTTCCTCCCCTTTCTGCCGATAAATCTGCCCCTCTCCACGCCTTTCTTTTCCCACTTCTCGCCTCTCTGTTTCTCTATCCCTCTCCTTGTTTCTCCGCCCTCTCGATAATTCCATTCCCAATGTCCCCCTTCGACAATTATCTCGTCGTCGCTCCTTTTTTTCTGTCTACCACGACTTTCCTCGTTGCATCTTTTATTCTTCGCGTCTGCGATATCCTCTTCCTGTACTACCACCCCTTTTCTTCCATTTTCTCTTTTTTCATTCAGCTTCCTACTTGCACGATGGTTAGACTGCGGATTCGTATGCGTTTCGAAGGCATTTTAAATAAATAGAACATCGATAGAAAATTGCATATTTTATATATTTTATATTTTTCATATATTTCTGTCCATACGTTTGCCTGTATATTCTACCTTTACGTATCGTTTGTATTATTCGCATTTTCGAATTTCCCTTAAGCGCGTACAAATTTTGCGGTCTAGCGTTAAATTTTAGAATAAAATGTACGATGGAATTTCAGGATAGAAATTTATTAAGAATTAAAATTCTTGTAATGAAGTCTTTCAGTTGTAGAATAGAAACTTAATAAAAATTTATTTTTTCTGTTTTAATGTATAATAGAATGCAGTTTTCGGTAAAAATGAATAAATATACAGGGTGTATCCAATATCTTTTGATTTAGCCTTTTGTTATATTTGCATTTAGTTAGTGGATCGACGATATTTCTTATTAAAATTATTTTCTAAACATAACTGAAAAATTGGAACCTCTGTTATTTCTAATGTTATAACGAATATATTTCATGTATTCTTTTTGCACAGCATATGCATACATGAAAATCCGTAGTCTATTAATAAACAAATATAAATGGAAATCGTCGCTTCCATGTCGTTCGTTCTCTGTGGCTACCTGTCGTCGACCTGTGCAAGAAACTATTCAGATAATCATCTTGTTTCTTAAGATGAGACTACATAAGGTTATCTTATAAGTTGGAGTCTCGTACGCGGAGTATGTTATCTTTATCGGAGAGATGATAAGTTGACACGTGTAAGAGTAACTAAACAATGATAAGGTCGAGTCGAATTCGTTGGAGTTATTTGTTGGCATTGGTTATTTAATACTATCTATCAGTGTTGTGTAAATCTTGCTTTACTCGCTTATCGTTCGATTTGAATTCAAGGTAGATCCGATTGCGAGAACAGATTTATGTATTATATGTATAGTACAGAAGCTGAGAATATATTCTTATGCCGTACATGAATTATTTGAAAGGTTTAGACAAATAATGTGGCAAACTTATTAATTTGAGAAAAATTGCAGATAAAGATGAGTCTTAAAACATCGGTGAAAAGTAAGGAATTTTAAAAAATTTCTATCACAATTAATAATCGAAGAAATTTTTTCTTTCAAAATGCTTGCTACGACTGATTGAAATTCTAATTACGTCGGGTGGATTAATTTATTTAAGTTAATTCTTAGATACGATTACTAATACCGGAGATAAAGGATAGATCAAGAAATCGCAATGAAGCGGAGCTTTCGTTCTCATAAGCAAAGGGAAATCCAGTTATGGACGGTTAATTAGTACTCGAGTCGCGTGAAATTTCGACACCCAATTCGTCTTAGTCCTCTCCGCGCGATGATGTATTCCTTTTTGCGGTTGACTCGGTCCCAGACTTCGGGTGAAGTCATTGTTTGGTTCGTTGGGGAATTTGGGATGTTTAATTGGGAGAAGTACTTGCAGCATTGTAATGGATTAGTTACTGCGAATACAAGATGAATCACTAGATAACGTTAATGTGTCATCTGTTCGAATGATTCAGTTCAAACTTGTTGTTTAGTATCGACTACCGTTCCTTACAATATTTGTAAATTCACCTCTTTCAAACACCAAGATGCTTGTAGATGGTACATTTTTAAACTCTACAGATCATTTCTCTCGGATCATTTCTTCCATAGATTCCATTCATCGTTGGCTACTTTGGTTATTCGGTAATTTCTTGCGTAGATTTTTATCTTGAAAACATAAATCGATGTAATCTGTATCGATGCAATGTGGATATTTCATATGTATACTGTTTAATTTTTAATATTTATTCAAGTTATAATATTGATAAAATTTTCATAAGAGCTTAAAAATTGTTGTGTTTAATCGTTCCAAGTATTTCAACTACAAATATCATTCTCCTTGTTCGTCTTGCGTATCGAACTATTTAGCGCGCAGAATTTTAAGACAACAAGAAGGTCTCTAGTTGCAGGGAAATTTTATTTCAAATTACGACCGCTCTAAACGAGTTACGAGGGTGTATCGATCAAACTGATACGTG